CCAGTTTTTTAGTGTGTTACTGTGCAATTGCTATGGCTTTCTGGGTTGTTGCTAGGTGGTTTTTGGGGTGTGTGGCTTAATTCAGAAAAGCCCATCTCCATTAAAGTCGCAATTATATTCTGGCCCATAGCTATGCCTTAGATCGGAAGTTAATAGTGGTTAAATGCAGATTGCAGTCATGTTGTATTTGTCTGGCACATGCTGATGTATTTTGTCAGGCTCCCGCACTCTCTTCCCCAACATCCAACTCTGAAAGCTGAATGTAGGCCAGAGAATTCCCATTGAGTGGCTTTTGTTGTCCTCGCTGGTGGGGGGATTCAGGTAGTGATGTTAAGCCCTGTTGTGGTAATGGCAGCATGAAAGTCTGCCCGCTCATGAATGACTCCCATTAGAGTCTCCCTGGTGTCTCTGAGCCGGCAGTCTTTGAAATTCTCCCACACAGGCTTTGTATTATGGATGGGCTGCATATCTATGATGTGACTGCCTGTCTGTTGGAAAGACCCTGTGTGGTACCCATAATCATATTCATAACATGAGACGCATGTTCCTCAGGAGAAAAATTATTTCTCATTCAGTGCTTTTAAAATCAGTTTTGCAGGTGTCTCACACAGATTAGTCTTGATTTTAAGTATAGCCTATGTCCCTCTTCCTTATGAATTTTAATGTAAGAGTTTTGTTTTGCTCTTTGCACAAACTGATCCTTATGGACTATATGTAGTTCTGTATTAGAAAACCATTAAATAAATAGTTCATCCAAAAATGAAAATTGTCATAATTTACTAACCTTCCAAACCTATATAACTTTCATCCATTTTCAAAATTATATTTTTAATGTTCTTTTAACGTATTTGTCCATTATTTGAAAGTCCACACAACCAAAACATTTCTTCAAAAACTTCATTAAAAAAACAATGCGTAATTAAACAAGCAGTTTAAAACAAGTCTTCTGAAGTGATATGATCACTTTATATAATGAACAGATTTAACTTAGGCTTTTATTTACATACAAAAATGTATCAACAACACACATGCATAGAGCACATCAAATATGGTCAATAGAAGCTCAACCGTGCTTGATGTGTGGGAACCAATAATGTTTTTCTCCGTTCATCAAAATATAATTTTTTGTGTGTGTGTGTGTGTGTGTGTGTGTGTGTGTGTAGCAGAAGAAAGAAAATCAAACTTGATGAGACAAGTAAATGATGAAAGTTTTTAGGTTAATTATCCATTTAAAGTTTGTCAACTTTTAAAAAAAATTATCCTGAAGTTTCTAATTACATCAGAGCCATAGGGGGAGGGACTTTCTCACTCTACAGAGCATTTGATTGGACAAAAATCGGTGTAGTGCAGGATGAGTCATCAGTATTTTTGTTCTGTTCTGTTGTGATGTTAATTTGAATGTATCTGTTAAATCCTAATATTGTCAATGTTAGGGAATATGCTAGCATATAGCTAGATGACTTCAAAGCTAATACACATAGACTAAAACCAAACAATTTTGATTTGATAGGGCTTAGTAGTTTTTGCTGCTTTTCCTCTGTGTGTGTTTTTAACCTTTAACTTTAAAAGCATCTCAGCGCAGTGTCTTTACTCTAATACAGCACTGACACAAATAGACAATAGATAAAAATTTAGGCAAGACCAATTTATTGCAGGCAGGTTGTGACTGCGCACGGTTGCCAGGCATTTTGAGTGGGAGATGGTGATTTCGCAGAAGAGTTCTGGTTACCCAGGGAAACTGCATCTGTCCTGATGCTCGGTCTGAAAGATTGTGAAGGACAGGAGATCGGCTCGTGATGTGATGACAAACATGAGGCTACAGAGAGAAATGAAGTGCATTATTCCATGTGTCTCCATGAAGGACATAACATGACTAGAGAAAAATGTAACTTGACAACAAACTCCTATGGAATCATGGGAGGGAGTTAATCAGTGTGTTAAAGGGGTCATACGATGTTGCTAAAAAGAACATTATTTTGTGTAATGAAATTTTTTATGCGGTTTAAGGTTAAAAAAACACATTATTTTCCACATATTGTTCATTATTGTTTCTCCTCTATGCCCCGCCTTTCTGAAACGCGTCGATTTTTACAAATACTCTACACTGCTCAAAACTCGCGTTTGAATCATCAGTGGCAAGTGTGTCTACTCTCACAGGATCAGGAAACAGTCCTCCATAAAATGTGCTGGACACATCTGAATATTTGGGTTGAACTGTTCTGGAACAGTGTTGTAAATACAACTTAACCACTGATTTCTAGTCGTGTCCTCTTCTGGAAGGCCGAACAAAGTATTTTCACTTTCGCAACGAAACACACAACGTCTTCACAACATGGCGGCGGCGGTGGCAGCAACAATAAAGTTACACCTTCTTTCTTTGCGTGAACATTATGCAAATCTTCCCACATCGTGACTTAGACATGTGGGGGCGTGTTTAAAGGAGCCGTTTTAGGAGGGCGTGGACCAGTCTTAACTTTTATAAAGAATATCTCTTTGGGTTTGAGACTTTAGTCTTTGCAACTTTAGGGATCTTATCTATTCACGAACAGCTTGTAACACTCCAAAGATAAAAGGAAAACTTGAAATCGCATCATATGACCCCTTTAAAAGCCATTATAAAACTCTCTCATGGCAGTACCACAGTACAATGAAGATATCAGATGGTGTTTGTTGTTTATTATACGGTTATTTTATGTTGTGTGGATCATAGTCGTGCTTGGCAATGAAACATAGAAATAATTTTTGGCATATATTGTGATACTGAATGACTGGCGTATACCATGGTATTTTATGGTAATTTCAAAGAATGCAATAGTATAACCCTTGTACGTTTCCATGATTCTGTAATATTTCATACATACAGAATATGAAACATGGAGATGTGAGAAAAGAAGGAGAGCTCTCGTAATGGACAGGGAGCTGGGGGGAGACATACAGGAAGTATAACAGGATTGTTTGTAGAGTCTTGAAGAGGGAGGCACACTCAGACATTCTGCCTCCAAGCTAAATGCCGCCGGCTCCAAGACATGTAAACAGTGTCTATGCATATGTGAGAATGAGAGTGTGTTTTTTTTTTCTTCTGTCGATATCTATAAATGCCTGTTTTATCCTCGCATTAAATGAGTGTGGCTATATACGAGTGTGTGTGAGAGATTAGTTTCCAGAAGCGAACACGAGCATGCAGTCTGACGCACTGCTGTGGATTAAATCTCATATTTATTGATCTGTCTTGAGAAACTCAAACCTTTTTGGGCTGTGTGATAGTGTAACACTGCAGGTCTGTTGCCGTTCTAGCTGCTGCAGTGGACCTGGGAGGGTCCAGCAGCTCAGAAATACAGGCAGAAGTGTAGATTTGCATCTATGTTGTGTTTTCCCATACATCCGCATTCATTGCCTTGAAGATAAACACAGATAAATTCCACATTTCCTGCATGCATCAGTTCACAAATTCATTTAAATACTTAAGCATGCACAATATTTTAAACTCGATTTCTCATAATCATCATCTCATAGCAGTTGTGTGAGTGGGTTTGATTTTGAAGCACTGTCCTACCATTTTAAGTGTTTGTTCTCTTTCTCTCAGCTTGAAACTGAAGTCCATAGCTGTGGTTTTATCATCCCCACTCATCTTTCTCTCTCTTTAGCTCTTTTTGTGTGAGAGCGGCTTTCTTGCCTCGAAGCGCTCACTCTTGAATGCAAGGACATGTCTGTGTCTGAAGCAGAGTGAGAAAATGGAGAAAGTGAAAAGAATCAAAAGCTGAAGAAAGCTAGCGCTGAGTTTAATTGGATTTTGGAGGCTGTATGGCTTTGTATGGCTCACGTACATGACAGACCAGAACGATTTCAATCATTTTGATAGTTTCCTTGAACAGAAGTTAGTAGGATTTCTTTTGGTGGGTGGACTGTTAGATTTGAACAGAAACTGGTGGACACATTTGCATGGACAGAAATCGCATCGCAAGGGCAGATATTCGTGAATTATTGGAATTTTTCAGATTCAATACATGTAAAGCTTTGTTAAAGTCATACAAAAATATTTTCTGCTTGTCCCTTACTCAATTCCTATGGGCAGCAATAGACATACTGCTTATCAAGATGACATTTTAATAGCATAATTCACATCAGCAATAAAATCTGACAGCAATGATATAAAAAATTATTTAGCTCAAATCATGCAAAAACAAATGTATTATCGTTCTTGTCCAGCTAAAAAAACAACAACAAAAAAACAGCAGACATCTGTTTTATCAAAGAGATGATTAGCTCTTTTAACTGGAAGGCGGGACTTCTGTTCCTCTAGCTACCATAATGAGCGTGGACCCATTTTATACAAACTATACAGTATTTATTTATTAGTTATTTTAAATTGTGCCTATGTTGTTATGTGATTTGTGTTGTTATTTGTGACCATGTTTGTTTTTATGTAATTTTATTGTGATATTGTGAATCACTTTGGGCAACCTGGTGTTAAACTGTGCTATATAAATAAACAAACAAACAAACAGTACCGATCAAAAGTTTCGGGTCAGTATTTTTATTTATTTATTTTGAAAGAAATTAATACTTTTATTCAGCATGATTACACACAAAATGTATCAAAAGTGACAGTAAAGACATTTATTATGTTACAAAATATGGCATATTTCAAAGGAATGCTGTTTTTTAACTTTGTATTTTTATAACTTTTTTGAACTTTGTAGATTCAGCTTTTCCATTAGAGGAATAAATTAAACAGTTATTTTAAATTGTAATAACATTTCACATTTCTGCCTTGAAACCTTCTGGAATATCTTGCTTCCTTAACTTTAATTGTAACTGCATTTCTGTACAGTATATGATTTTTGTTTGTTATTCATTTATTTTGTGGCAATTTAACAGCATGTTGATTATTTATTCAACGTGCAAATTCAAAAGCTAAAATGAGCTTAAATGCAAGTAATGATTGAATGTCTAACATGCCTCTCTTTCTCTTTCTCCTTCTCTCTTCCCTCTTTCTCCAGAAGAGCAGCAGCCTTTACACAGGGATGAGGCCATCTTCATCGCCCTCGCGTCTGTCTCTATTGTGGCGGTCTTGATCGTGGCGCTGTTCTTCGGCTATCGCATGATGATGGGTGAGATGCAGTACACTTTACTGATTGGCTATTTGGAAAAGGAAGGTCATGTCATATTGTTACAGTGTTGTGATACATTGTGTGCATACTGTGTTTATTACAGGTGAGTGTAAACAGGGTCTGCACAATATGGACATGATAGAGGCCGCACCATCAGAACCGTCTCTGGATTTAGACAGTTTAAAGCTCCTGGAAGTGAGTTCAACTCTTCTAGCTGCCACCAAATATGTGCTCATTATCATATTTTGATTTTGAATTGTATTGTAATGAACTTGAACCATCTGTATTTGTTTATCATGTAACATCTGCTACAGTTCACACCTGAATAATTTTTCATGCAGTTGATTGGTCGAGGACGCTACGGTTCTGTCTACAAAGGATCACTGGATGAACGGCCAGTCGCCGTAAAGGTTTTTACCTATGCCAACCGGCAGAACTTCGTGAATGAGCGCTCCATCTACCGAATCCCTCTTCTGGAGCATGAGAACATTGCTCGTTTTATTGTTGGCGATGAGCGTCTCACGACAGATGGGCGGATGGAGTACCTGCTGGTTATGGAGTACTACCCTCATGTAAGTATTGATCTGGTACAAGCCTTCTTTTCTCTCATCCTTAAAGTCGTATATGACACGGCTCTGGTGCCTGCTTGCCCTGCTCGGTGTAGTTTTCCACATTTTACCTTCATCTGTCCTTTATTCCTCGTCTCTTTGTTTTATTAGTTTCTCCTGACTATTTCTGTCGAAGTCTGGAGTGGAATCGAATGTCTTGCCGCTATCTGGTCAGGTATTTTTATCCATGATTCAGATGGATTTCCAGCAGGCAGCAGGAGAAGGTTGACTTGGATGTCAGCTTTGTGTTTTAGTTGTGCCTGTTCATCTTTCTCTCTCTGTCTGACTGACTGGCTCCTATTGTTTTCATTCACTTATTCTGTATCCATCTGCCATTGCAGTCAGAGAAGGTGTTTTTCTGTCCATTTTAAATACAGAGATTAATTCACAAAACTGCTGCGGCACTTTTGCATTTCAGCACAAATTTCTCTGTTGTATTCACTAACCACCTGCAATCTAGTGCAGCACTAAATGTGCTGAAATTATGTGCTGCAGGGATGATGTATTTTTGGAGGCCAATCTGGAAGTTAGCATCCCTCAACAAAAAAGCAATAGGATTTTTCCATTGGCTTTTGGATTATTGCAGAAAATAAGCTCTGTGACCAACAAAAGTTCATTGTGATAATCTTCACAAATGAGCGCAACTATGAATTTTGAAGCCTAAATACCATTGCAAAATACAATACAAAGTAAAAAGTTTAAATTAGGTCATATATTGCATAGTTTGAGTTAGATGTTAGCAACCGCCGTTTTCAACAGCTTTTAAAAGCTTTTAAAAATCACAAGTGAGATATTACTAATGTATTTTAAGTCATACAACAACAAAACAGGAAAATATATTATGCTTGTGTTAACATAAAAAAAAAATTGACTTCAGGACGATGGAACTGGAAGTTCAAAAATGCTAACTTGGTTTTGGGTTTCAGGACTCATTCCTGCAGCACTTTATAGCACTGTATTTAAATGAAGTCATTGTCACTTTTTTTTTTTTTTTTAAACACAAACATGCCACCTTTCTTTGTGAAGTGGGCTTTTTATAGATTGATTCTTCTTTAAAAAAACTTCCTGGCATAATTAACACTGCATTAAAATTACCTGGGAAAAAAGTGGTAAGCTGAATTTTACTTGAAAGTTATTTTATGTTCATTTTTATTGATTACAGCAACAGTTACACATCGATATTACTCACCAAATGAGTGTTATAAGTAACTGTGCATATACAGTGGGTACGGAAAGTATTCAGACACCCTTAATTTTTCACTCTTTGTTATATTGCAGCCATTTGCTAAAATCATTTAAGTTAATTTTTTTTCCTGAAGTTGAGTGCACTTTCAGCTTTTTAAATAGTCAATATGGGTGTCTGGATTGACTTTTACATATTAGTTAGACTTTTACATTCCCAGTAAAGTATGTGAGATTGCAGTAGTATGTTGCATCCTTGACAACCTCGCACTCAGAACCAGCCTGCAAGTTGGGAAATTACGAAGTGCAAATTTCATTTAGAACAAAGGCTGTTTTATGCCTGTCACGTTGCACACACACACGAGGAACGAGGAGACGCTGGAGACACACGAAGACGTTCAACAGCAGTCAGAGAACTTGGGACTGGGAACACATTTTATACACACACACACAGGAGGAGGGGATGACGAGACACACCTGGGAGCAATAAAACCAAGGGAAACACCTGGGACAAATGAAATAAACTAATCAGGACAGGAACAGGAAACTAACCAAATAAGGGCATGGGAAGGCACATGGGGAGCAGGACACACACAAAACATGGAACAGAGTCTGACAATGCCGTTATTTGTCTTATTTATGCATGTTTATGTCGCTATGTAATTTGCATAATTCCTTTAATTGAGTGCTAAAACAATGCAAACACAACATGCAAATAAACAGACCTATCAATGGGCACAAGTCATTCTAAGTCATTCCCCCCACATCTTTCAGAACTCACACAAAACATGCACAATAACAATAGCCCAGCATTCTTTGCAACATGTTTTCCTGTACATTCCTGTTTGACATGCTATAACCTGCGCCTGTTCTACCCGCCTGGGCCTTTTGAATGGCAGTGGGGAATGAGACACACCTTTATTGTGTCTGGCTGCAGACAGACAGCACTCTGTTGAGACATCGCTGTGTTTGCTCTTGCCCTGTTTCACTTCTGATGTATGAATTATATAATGAACTCCTAGCCTAAAGCCAAAGTACAGGAAGAACCCTTGTAGGTGAATGTTCATTTCCTATTTAGACATGAATTGATGGTTTGCTTTAGGCTGAATCGAAGAACTTTCTGGATTTTGCCTTATATGCTGTACCTTTTGAACTCTGCAACTTGAAATGATTACATCTGAGTTATAATTTAAGGTATTCAATTGCTATAAAAGTGTATACCAGACTTTCACTCTCAAGATTTTTTTTCTAATTAAAACATGATTATATACATAGTGGCAAATTAACTGGATGGAAGTAACTAGCTTAATTTAGCCACTGTTTAATGAGTGATTGAGAGTTAGCTAACCTGAGGGTTTCAGCATGAAGTTATTTTTAACAGATCTTTTTTAAAAGTTTTAGAGACATACCAAAAGTTTGAGACATACCAACTAATAATGAACAGAATCCATCCAATCCTTTGCTTGTTTTCCCACTAAAAATGACATAACTTCCTGTAGGATATCATTACTGGCTTTAGTTAGTTTAGTTAAAGGTGACATATGAAAATCTGACTTTTTACATATTTAAGAGTTATAATTGAGTCCCCGGTGCATCTACTGACCCAGGAAATGTAAAAAAAGATTAACCCAGTAATTTTTTTTGGTAAGCCTTTCTCTGCAAGCTTGTGAAAAAATGACACGCTCAGATTTCGTTCCCCCTGTGATATAGAAAGGGAATCTTATTATAATATTTCCGTCCCTTAATCTGCAAGTTTCCACCCACAGCGCCGCCATTGTGTTTTCGCAAATGACAACGGTGTACCAGTTCTAACGCCATGAAGCAAAGCTTGCTAACTGTTCTGTCTTTGGCTGCACTTACGACCACAGAACACTATTTAGGGTGCTTTCACACTTGGTTCGATTGCTTGGTCCGAACCCCAATTTTGATTGCTCCGCCTGCCCACGCTGGACTGTGTTCACATTATATTATTTGGGTCCGAACCGCAGTTCGTTTGCGTCATCAAGCCAGCAGCTGTTTACCCTGTTGCTTAGTAATGATGGCGCAGGAGAAGACGGCAAAATGCGTAGCGAGGCTCTCTTCAATTTTATATTTATGTTTTTGAACCGTTGGTTTTGTTTCCAAAGCTTCAGTACATAACAGCACTTGCGTCTGCCTTACGAATGTACTGCAAATGCTCTAAAGTACTCTGAAGGTGAACAGAAATTAGATATACAGCTCTCTGCTTTCAGCGCGTCAGTCACACTCGTCAAGAAAGTGAGTGAAACACACCAACACACATTTTTATCCAATAATACGTTATTAATAGCGGTTCACTTCCGTGATTTGGTACGATTGCGTTCACATCAGCAGCGAACCGTACCGGAGTTCACTTGAACCGTACCCCAGACCACCCTTTTTAAGCGGACTCGGGTACGGTTCGCGGGTGCACACCGGAGTTCGGAAGACCGCATTTACATCATCCAAACGTACCGAACTCTAACGTCAGTCGAACCCGGGTGCGCACCAAAAGTGCTAGAGTGAAAGCACCCTTAATGCCCAATACTTTATCAGAATAAGTCCTTTTTCCAAGACCTCAGCATCTTTTTATTTTTATTTTGAGGTCAGTATTTTAATCGATCAGGCAAACAGGAATATCTGTGTCATGATTTTCACTCACCCCAAATGCTCTGCCAGCTTTGAAGTCGGCTTTCTTTCTCTCCATGTCCTGCTCTGCTTTAGCCAGTTTCTCTTGCCTTTTCATTTTCTTCCAGGCCAAGAATGTTTCCAGAGTAATTCGGGTGACATTTGCTCCCAGGGTAGATCGCTACAATAAAGAACAGATGATCATAACAACAATTATGATAGATAACTATCAGATTCAATGACACTGCTACTTCACAATCACATTCTGAAACACTCTTCTCTTCCTTCTCACCTCAGTCTCTATCAAATCCTCCAGCGAGATCTCCTCCTCATTCGTCTCTTCTTTCTTCTTGTCTTTCTTCAGAACAAAGCCCACAGGAAGAG